CTCCCAAAGACAATCTGAGGATTCACTCAATAGCTAAGGCTCTGGCTTTTACCGATAGGTAAGTCAATGGGTTTGTAATTTTGCATCTAGAATTGTTCTAGGATATTCCTTATGTAAGTCATCGAAGACAAAATAGCAATTCTGCCAAAACAATCCCTAAGGATCGTACATCCGAGCATATAAATTACATCACCCATGTCCATCATATCTAAAATAGAGGACTGCCCACCCTAGGTGGTGACAACCTTATAAATTCCTGGCTCATAATGACTAAGTAAGGAAAAACTTCTTTTTGGACCATTGATCATGCCTCAGTGGTCTTCATCGATCATCGTTGGCCTATCATGGCTTGACGAAATCTAAGAACCACTATTTGGATTACTGTTTTAGGCTGTAAAAGATTTATTGGAACTAGCAACCTTTTTGCGCTCCTAACTTTTCACTATAAAAGCAGAAGGTAAATCCCTACGGATCTACTTATCCAATTCTCCAACGAGAAGTTGGGTCACAATGTCCACAAATCAATGTTCCGAACTTATGTCAATCATAGCTTAAGTCAAAATAACCTCACTCCCCAGGAGGAAGTCTTCTCATGATCTACACTTTCCTCAATGGTGCAACTTTTCGGTATCTAGCGAGCCTTATGCCTCAACAATGACTATCCAAATTACGCATAACTTTAGAACAGTTTCGCGTCATAATGGAAAGTCAACCAAATTATCGAAATGGTTAATCCTCAAAGACTTTGTCTTAAATTGCGCAACATTGATCCATTTTCTAAAAACAGGGGACTAGAGCCTTTGGCATTATCCTAGGCTCTTTATCATCTTACGAAGCAATCATGAATGTTTCCTTCTCAATCACCCAGTGATGACGTGGAAAATTTTCACATTCGCTACCACGCAATTAAGAATGTAGAGTATTCTTCTCTAATGTAGTAATCCATTAGTAGGCACATCGCTCCCACTGTCCTTAGGATATTGGAAATTTCTTTCCATTCTCAACTAGGCTACATAAAAGCGCTATGCTTAGAATTCTCTATCTTATAGAGTTCCAAAACTCTATTCACGTCACCTTTACTAAGAAAACTTTATGTGACTTAGTTACACTTCCACAAAGCTGCTTACCTATATGCACATGACCCGGAGGGTTTACATGACCGCATATAATAATGTGTCACACGACCCTATGTGTTTATAAGACAGCATACAATAATGCGCTATAGAACCCTAGATCTTAACTTCGTAACCTTATGAGAAGTAAAATAAAGATAAGCTGCTTAACGGTTACAGATCGCCCCCCATTACTCAAATGGAGTGTAAAATCTAATATGGAGGGCACTTAGTTAGGGATATAGGCAACAAACTAGAGCAATTCCCAATTGGGAAACATTTTGTGCCATTATCCACCTAACATTAACAATATTTAATTCCTTATCTCTACTATACCCTTGTGTTATTGAGTACTAGGAATAATCAACTTTCTAAGCATCCATTTCTCTTCACAGAGCTTTCTAAAAAAACACTCAAATAGATACTCGCCACCTTGGTCAAAACTAAAAGCACAAAAGCTGTTATCTAATTGATCTCGACCTTATATGTGCAATGTCAAAAATCATCTCAAAACTTTTGACTTATGGGAGATTAAATAGTCTTGACTCAAATGCATATCGTAATCTATAAATATGTCGAGATTGAGGCTTAGCTATCATACCCTTACACATATCTAGTCACAAATATCATAGTGGACTAAATGCGCCAAACAAATGACCTTCTACGGCTTTCCTACTTACTTGTGCGCACCTATTGTGAACAAAGTTACACATTCACATGAGAGCAGATGTCAAAAACGAGTGGGCCCGAGAAGGCCTACTCAAACCATCGTGTCATCATCTCATTAATGTGATTAAGTATAATAAGCCACCAGTTCATGACCAATGTCATAAACTAATTCCAATCATTTTAATGTGTGAGTTCTCGAAGACAAGTTTTAAAGATTTAGGCCCAACTAGGTAATGACTCACGGCTAATTCATATTCACTAGATCATAAAAGGATGTCATGGAGATATTAAGTACGCTTAAGTTGTAAATTTAACTAGTAAGTGCTAATTCCCTGCACCTTCAAGTCAATTTTATTCTTCATACACTTTACTGCATCTAGTTGAAAGATGACGATACTCCATTTGCCATTTCTATTTCTCGCTTCATAGTTACTTGCAATTAATTCTACTATCCATAAGAAGGAGAGAATAAGCTATCAATCTATGATTGCTCCTGAAGTAACTTAAGCACGAATTAGGCTAAAGAGTCTTATTCAACACAATGCTCTCACAAGCGATGCGTCAAATTCGTAGAATCATAATAACCTTGTCGGCCTTGGCCTTTTCATTACTATGCTGCAACGTTTGCGCTTAGTGGTAAACGTTATTAAAAAAAACGTTAGCCTAGCTAAGGAATCATACAAAGAAGCACCTTAACATGTCTCACACTCAAGTGTGGAAATAGTAAGTGTCCAGACTTAGACAAGTTGGCAATGCTAATAGATTTTGCAGCCACTTGACGCTAATCTTTTCACTTAGTGTTAATAGATTTTGCTGCTACTAAGTGCTAATCTTTTAACTTCAAGTGATACTTTAATGCACACTATTATAGTGCGTGAAATTTTGCTCCATCCACTCCCAATAGTTGGGTAAAGATCAAAACACTGCTCATACTGGCTAC